TACTGAAATGTATTGTAATTATACTGTCTCCCTTATATTGTAAAGCACTATATAAATCCTGTATAATAATAATAATATAACCGGTAACTGTATTTACTACGTGATCTGCTGTGTCATTGGATACAGCTGATCACGAAGTAAAAGGCTGCTGTGATTGGCCTTTTACCTCATCACGTGATCAGCTGTGTCCATAGAACACAGCAATCACGGAGATCGCCGGGTGCGTGGGAGGGCGTGTTCTGGGAGGACGTCATATGACGCCCTCTCAGAACTGGATAACGCCGCTGTAGTCATTCGGCTATAGTGCGGTTAGCAAGTGGTTAAACTCGATGCCTTATCTGCATTAAATTAGTCTCAGAACCTGTGTCATTAATATGTGTTTTAAAGGGGTGACGTGGCATCCCATTTAGCCGTTCGAGGTATGGCAATGGTCAGAAGCAGCAAAGCAAAAGGGATCAGAAGTGTAAATCACTCCTGTAGGTGCACTCTGCCAAGGTCCAGCAGAGGGCGCTCTCCGTCTGTTTATCAAGCAGCTGACGTTCAGAGCACGTTGAAGAGTGTCCTGTGTACGGGTCTATGGAGGAGTCAAAAAGCTGCAGGAAGCAGGAAGTGCAGCCAGTGAGCTAGGCTAGTGATGGGGTAAATCTCTGGTTCACTGGTGTGCACACAGACAGCCCTTTACCGGTTTGTAGGACGCATAGCCATCGTGTGAGAGGTCCTAGCAAGCAAGGTACAGGTAGGAGCATGGGGAATACACAGGAGTTCAGGGTCAGCTCAACTGGGATGTGGGCTTTGGGGAAGCAATTTTCCTTTACTGTCATCTCACATCTAGGGGGTTTATTTACTAAAGCTGGAGAGTGCACAATCAGGCTCACTTCTGCACAGAAACCAATCAGCTTCCAGGCTTTGTCAAAGCTTAAAGCGGAGCTCCACCCAAATGGGGAAGTTTCACTTTAACCACTTCAATACCGTGCACTATTACCCCCTTCCTGCTCCGGCCAATTTTCAGGTTTCAACGCTCTCACATTTTGACAATTGCGCGGTCATACAACACTGTACCCAAACTAAATTTTTATCATTTTCTTCACACAACTAGAGCTCTCTTTTGGTGGTATTTAATCACCACTGGGGTTTTTTATGTTTTGATAAATTAACAAAAAAAGACTGAAATGTTGAAAAAAAAACATGTTTCTTTGTTTCTGTTATAAAAGTTTGCAAATAAATAATTGTTCTTCATAAATTTAGGCCGAGATGTATTCTGCTACATGTCTTTGGTGAAAATAACCCAAATCAATGTTTATTATTTAGTCTGTAGGAAAGTTATAGAGTTCACAAACTATGAGATATATCTGAATATTGATCAATCCTGAAGTACTGACGGCCAGTCTAATTTCTTGAGGTCCAAGAATGTCAGAACAGTACAGATATCCCCCAAATGACCACTTTTTGCAAAGTGGGCAGTCTGACTGCATGGCGAATTTTTTGAAGTTGTAATTTTTTTGTCATTTTTTTTTAGAAAATAAATTAAAAACTATTTTCACAATTTTTTTTTTTTTTTTTTTTTCCGTACTGTCACCAGGGCAGTACAGCATCATCATATAACTGGTGTGGCGGTGATCAGGGACACTGACTGGTGACACTACGAAAAAAAAAAAATTATCATTTTTTTTAAACATTTTTTTTAAAGATTTTTTTTATATTGCACTATGACCAAAGTAGTCAAATGTTAACATAGTAACATTGTACAACTTTGGGGAAATGATCAGTATTTTTTTTTACAAAATTTGATTGCTTATAGCAAAGACTTTCTTTGCTATAAGCAAGCATTTAACTGAATGAAATCGATTCATTCAGGTTTTTTTGTTGTGATTAGCCACGGCTAATCACATGACACAGATGGGCTGTGATTGGCCCAGCCAGTGCATGTGATCGCTGTGGCTATTCACAGCTAGAAAGGAAAAATGTCACCAGCACACCAAGGATCACCAATATGGGTCCAAAGGTTTTAATGAACGATCACATAGTTACAGCAAGGCAACGTTTCGGAGTCTCGCAGGACCCCTTCATCAGGCATAAATGTTATGTTATTAACCACTGCCCGCCCACCCGCAATGTATTGCGGCCAGGCGGCAGCTACAGGCAAGGCGATGTACCTGTACGTCGCTCTGGCTGTACTAACGCAGGGGGGTGCTGCGCCACCACGTGCTGTATGCAGGCAGCCAATGTAAATCTATGGGGACGCAGTGGTTACACAGACACAGCCGCTCATCCTAGTGCAAGTGAGAGGCCCCGAATGCACACTGTCTGTATCCATAGACTTACAATGGCTGTCTATATGTGGCACCTGGCAGCCCAGCCACATTATCAAACGGTCAGTTAATGTACAGGCCTCAGCTTCCCGGTGAATGAGGTCTAAATGATCAGATCACATCGTTTTAACAGCACTATCCGCCAAGCTCAGCTCACTCCAAAACTCCTGAGTCTATCAATCAGAAAAATAGTAGTAAAGTGCTGGGGATTTAGAAATCATTTATTTCCTATAGGAGTTGTTGTTATTGTATATGTTCCTGGATTCTGGGCTGGCAGCTTTTCCACACCAAAATACAGTATATCCACTATCTCCTTGTTTGTGACAGAGTCTAAGATTGAAGCACACGACACCAGAAGATGGCTATCAGCAAATGTATTCCATGATAGGATATAAGGTTTTATCACAGAGCCAACACATTTTAGGGGCCAAAGCACATCCCTTCATCAGGGCTTGAAGAAAAAAAATTGATGTATACTGGAATGAGGTATACTCAGTCTTTGAACCAGCAAACACAAATGCTCCTGCGCTTGGGGATGGACTCGATGCTACAACCACATTAAGAATGTCCTGGAACATGCACACCTTGCTGCCCTCAAATGGACCGGGGGAATCCAAATATACTGAATGGGGAAAGAACAAAAAGAGGGCGCACAGGCCTAGTGCATTACCATAAAAAATGTTTAATAAAAAATAAAAAGTAGGTGTTGTACTCACAAACGACAATATAGTCAAGGCACATCATTTCTGGATCAACACCGCGCTGAGTAACAGTCCACAATAGGGAGTTTAGACATCCAAAAGGCTGACGCGTTTCGAGGACTTGCCTCTTCCTCAGAGCCAGAGGAAGAGGCAAGTCCTCGAAACGCGTCAGCCTTTTGGATGTCTAAACTCCCTATTGTGGACTGTTACTCAGCGCGGTGTTGATCCAGCTGTTCTTCTATGATGTGCCTTGACTATATTGTCGTTTGTGAGTACAACACCTACTTTATTTTTTATTAAACATTTTTTATGGTAATGCACTAGGCCTGTGCATACTCAGTCTTTGAACCTGGCTGGTCTTGTCAGCAAATTTGTGAAAACTAAACCTGTAGTCAGTATAAAGCTGTCTAATTTCACCTCTTTCTTTGAGGTTATGAATTAGCTTACTGTAGGTAACCGTTTTACCATAGCTCCCAGCTGTCCCTGATTTGGAGAGGCTTTCCCTCTTTTGGAACCAAATCCCTCTTTCTCTTTTTTTTTTTCCCATCTGTCTGCCCAAGTGTTGTATTGCAGTAAGCCATAAATCCAATCACTAATTATTAAACAGGTTCGAAATGCCAGTATAATAAACAGTAGTGAACAAAAAAATAATTTGTGGGTTTAACCAACCTCCCTTTTTTTTTTTCTTTTTTTTTTTTGTGCATTAGTTCCTAATGGTCCATGTAATTTAATGCATCTCAGGGGTGTATCATCTGTCTACTAAAGCTAGCCGTGCATGGATCGAAATTCATCCAGTTTAGCAGGGACCAGCCAAATTTTGATCCTTATATGGCCATTGTGTTGGAAACTTTTCCGCTTGATTAGGGCCAGCGACTGTAGTCTCCATGCTGTCAGAATACAAGAACACCAATAGCTTAGAGGTAAAGATTACCCTATCTATCTCCCACGTCCTTTCTTTTTTCTGTGCAACTTGCTGGTTGAATAAAACAACTGACTAATGTATGGACAGCTTAAAGCGGAGCTCCACCCAAAAGGGGAAGTTCCACTTTAAGAACTGCTCCCCATTAAGGATTGGCACCTTTGGGGGGTGGGGGGGGGGGCGGGTACCTGAATTTGACAGGTACCCGCTCCAACTTCCGGTCTGATCGAAATGGAAGGTGTCCTCCCTGTAGTCTTTTGGGACATGTGACAGGTCCCAGAAGACTACAGGACCATTCATGAAGTTCAGCGCTACTCGTGCATGCGCAGTGGGTACCTGGCTGTAAAGACGCAAGCAGTCACAGCCAGGTGCCCACACAGAAGATGTCGGCCTCCAGGAATACAGGACAGCCGGTGAAACAGGCTGCAGGGGGACACACCGTGGGACCGAGAGACAGGTAAGTGGCTGTTTTAAAAGTCAGCAGTTACAGTTTTTGTGGTTTAAGGTGTCCATCTCAGAAAGTTGGGAGGTATGGGCTCACTTTTACTTTACTTAGCAACTTGTTCATCACCAATGTAGAAAATTAACCCAGTGTTTGACAGATTTGGTGAGTTTTTTACGTTGATAAACCTATTTTGATTGTATAAAGCAGTTGTTTTTGTATTGTGCCTATTAAACAAGTGCTACCGTTTATTGGGTTGTAGTTTCCTTTTAATGTATGCTATCAGAGTATCATAATATCCAAACCTGTGTGATAATGTGAATAAATATTGAAGCTGTGCATTGTACAGTTCTTTAAATAGCACTGTTCATTTTCATAATTAGACAGGTGTTTGGTAAATGCCTTATGTTTTCTCTTGCTTCAGTTTGGTTAATCCGCCTCTTGAAGGGAAGGTTTGTATAACAATAACTGCTCTGTTTTCCTGGGGCTATGTTGAAGCTCAGTGAATTGATGTCTCAGTATGCATACAGCTTGCATGCTGAGAAAGTGCAGGCACAGATAGTGAGTTAAATGGGCCTGTTATGCCATTTACTGACATTATGCCACCCCTTATGTTACAGAACAGAAAAATGGAATCTAAAGAGAGACCTAGTAAAAGCTACACTCAACAGGCCTACCTACCCCGGCTTCCTATTGAAAGATGCAGAGAAAAGCTTGTCCAGGCAGCCAGGGATACTTCATGCTTTATTGTGACTGGAGACACTGGCAGTGGAAAAAACTACACAGCTTCCTCAGTATCTCTACAAAGCAGGTAAATTGTTGCTTTTAATGCTTATATTATGTATGCCCATAGATACTGTTGCACTTAGTATCTTGTATAAATATTCTTTATAAATCTGTAATTTCAGAAGTATAATTTTGTATGCATAACCCTTGTTTTTCATACTGAAATGTATTATCAGTTTACCTTTTTCTGTTTCTGAGTGCGTCAGGGACTTCCACATTTATGGCATTTTAAGTGTTACTAAACCCAGAACAGTAAAATCACTGTATATGCAGTCAAGTATATTTGTTATACTGTGGAACCTAAGGGGTTGATCCTCTGCATTGTGTAAAAAGGCTGTTTGATCCTGGCTTCTCTGATCCTCCCCTTCTTCTATTGTCCCCCACTCATCTCCTGATAAGACCGTCTTTGGAGTCACTCTGCACAAGCTCAGTTTCCTGTATTGCTAGAGAGTTTTTTTTTTTTTTTCTTTGGGACGGTGCATGTGATCAGGACAGGGCCAATCAGCAGTGTCCAGATGGAGGGTGAGGGTTATGCAGCCTCATAGGGCATTCATAGGAGAATGAAAACTCCTCCTACAAGCAGTGCTGAGCTGGACACTGATCATAGTCACAAGACTGCTCTAACTGCTGATGAGAAAAAGTATTTAGCAGTTTATATTTACTAAACTAATTGCATTCCCGTGTACTGTGGGAGACCAGATATAGTGAATTCAGAGTCCTGGGTTTAGTAGCACTTTAATATGCAAGTTATGTTTTAGAACTCCATAGTTGGGGCTTTGGCAAATCCACTCTCCAGGCATTATAGGGTTAAATTTATAGATAATATATATAAATAGTGTTTGTTCACTTTACAAAGGGAATGTTCACTGAGCTTAATAAATGTGAAGAAGCTGTGTCTGTGTTTAATTATGGGAATGAGCAGAAGAAAGAACAGCAGCCCCAAAGGAACGGACTGAGCCTAGGGCCACGTACTTTGTGTACTGTCTGATAAAGGTTTATAGGGTACTGTATCTGGCTGCTATACAGATCATATCTGGAAAATATATGATCAGCGCTCAAAAAGGCTTGTGATTCTCCTAATAAGCCATGGCATATAGTAGAAGTTCATATACAGTCTATAGAAGCCCATAGAGTCCTATGTTGCACAAATGGCAGCTATCTCCCAGTGAGCCAACTCTACAGAAATGAAAGAGAGAGGGGAAAAGGTGCCCTCTAAGTGCAGTATCCAGGTAAAAATTCTTAAACCACAGTTGATCTTTTAATCTTGTGAGTGTTTTAGCTGTGGTTTAATACATTTTTACCCACTTAGCTCCCTTTTTTTTTTTTCTCCCACCTCTGGCGACACCTTAGCAAATTCTGTTCAAGATGTTGCAACTCCTTTAGTAGAATGTGCCTTGATTTCTTCTGCAGGGGGAAGACCTGCTAAGATTAAGGCCAAACTTCTAGTGCTAATGATCCAGGCCAGTATGACTCATGAGGAACCTGCCATACCATTTTCTTGGACTGCTAGAAAGAATAAATAGCATGTCTGTTTTTCTGACGGATTTGGTCCTGCTCCGGTATTCTTGAGAAAAAGGTACTAATTCCAGTCTTTGCGAATGCACATCTGCCAAGGATTGAGCAGAGGAATCAAAATATAGCAGAATAGTTTCCGAATTGAAATATAATTCTGAATACCTCTTTGGCAGAAAATCCAGAGATGGTCTTAACAAAACTTTGTCTGAGAACAGCTGACAGGAGGGCTGCCAGCTGAAGAATGCTTGAAGTTCAGAGACCCTGTGGGCCGAAGTAATGATCATGAGAACTACCATTAGCAGAGACAGATGCCAAATGGAAAACAAAGTGAACAGATAATATGGTTCTGCAACAAGGCTGTTCAGCACCATAGGGAGATCCCACTTCTGGAACATCAGCTTAATAGGAGGCCTAATCTTCATGACTGCCTGGAGAGGTTTCACGACAAAAGAGTTTATGGCCCAGTGGGTGCCTGTTAAACCGACAGTGCTGAAACCTGGCCTTTTCATTGTGTTGTAGCTCCACCGCAGACCTAGGGCTAAATGGAGAAAGTCCAAGATATGGGTCACTGAAGAGCTTTGCCAATCCAAACCCTTCTGCTCCGAATAATTCTGTAATCTTCAACTTCTGTGGTACGTACGTTTTGTAGAGCTCTTTGTTGCCTTGCTTATCGTATCAATAACCAGAGTTGAGAAAGCTAAGAGAAAAATACCTCCCTGATCTTACCAACATGCAGGACCTTGTGGAAAAACCTGTTCATAAATAATAAAGATATGAGTTATCCACTTAAGGGAGGAAAGCACAACAGTTGACTGTGAAGCAAAAATACTTTACCTACTGTAAAATTGTTGTATGTTTAAATAAATTAGAATATTTGACATTTTAACTATTGTGTACATTGTATATACTGTATTTTGGGGCACCAGTAAGATTTTACACATTTGTATTTCTATTTTCTACCCTTTGTTTCCAACATTATCATGGCAGCGTTTTTCTTGGGTAGAAGTAGGGATTCTTTCCCTACATATAGGGGTTAACTTACTAAAGGCACTGTGCACTTTGCAAATGTAGTTGCACACAGTTGTGTAACAGAAATAAACCTAATAGAATATTTAAATCTTCCATATTCTTTCCAAAAAAATTAACTGGAACCAGTTTGCAGTTTGGAGTAATAAAACTGAAATTTGGTCTGCAGCATGTTACAAATAAACTGTACTGTAGGACTTTGTGTATATATTGATTTTCAATTACTTGTTTTGTGTGTAACAGGTTAGGTTTCCTGTGTTATTACCAGGTTCAGTGGAGAGTCAAATAACTGTGACTTTTAACTTTTATTTAAAGGGTTTGCTGAGCATGGCATTATCGGAATCACACAGCCACGCAGAGTTGCCACTATATCTGTAGCAGAGAGAGTGGCAGAAGAAATAAATTGCTCATTGGGAAGTACTGTAGGTTACCAAGTACGATTTGATGACTGTACATCCCAGGTAGGGGTCTGTTCTAGCTTTTACTTTGCTCTGTGAAATTGTATAAAACATTTTTCCTAAATCTGAACTTTTTACAGATGTCTGAATACACTGTTAGGAATGCAAATATAAGGGCTGTTTTACCTGTCAAAAGATTTGCATTTATGTTCATGATTTTAAAAAATTGTGTATTCTTGTTTGGTGTGTTGTGTGGTTTTTTTTTTTTTGTTTTTGTTTTTGTTTTTTCAGTTTTGGGTTGAGTTGGGGAGGGTTAAACCCCCTGTGTTTATTTTTTGCTGTGAATATTAAAATTAACTTTTTAATTCTTGTCTCAGACACAACAGAAAGTGAGAATAGATCTCTACAAAATGAGAGAATCCCCTCTTAGACAGTTGTCATCAAAAGAGGTGTCCCTAATTTCCCCTGTCCCTTCTGGTAATAGCTGTGACAATTGTTACGAGGACAAATTTAAATCTACCTAACGGACACAAATAGCTGTAAAACACTAACAAAGTTTTTATAAAGCTGGCCATACATGGTTCAGTTCCCTTCGTTTATCCAGGCAACTGAACGAAAAAAACAGAACTGATTTCCCCCATCCACACATTTCAATGTGCATGGGGAAATTCTCCTTGTTCTGTCATTGTATTCTGACAGCAGAACTCCCCCACATCAGAATACACTGATCAGTGCTGCTGCTGATTGGCTGCATGCACTGATCGATTTAAAAATTTACCAACAAGCTGGCTCCTGAGAAGTCAATCTTCCTGGGAAGATTTGGACAGTTCAGTAGGAACCAGACAAATTTTGATCAATGTATGCCCAGCATAATTCCTTTTTTTTTTTTTTTTTTTTAAATTAACTGTAATGTCGCATTCACATCAAAGCAAAATTGTAGAAAGAGAGCTACAGTCAGCAGCGTATTATAGCACATTGTGCTTATTGCCATATAGGTTTACTGTAGGATAAAGCACTATTATTTGCTCAATGAAACAACAAAGAATGCTGTAGAAATGTGTGAAGTAACTGTGCACATTGTAACACAGTAAACCATTTTATATACTATAGAAGACTGACATTATGTACCTGACTGATGGGTGTTTATTGCGGCACACTCTGACAGACCCTGATCTCCTGAAGTTCAGTACAGTTGTTTTGGATGAAGCTCATGAGCGAAGTTTAAGCACTGTAAGTATATATGCAGATCCACACTGAACAGCTGATTTTAATATTTTAATTTTTTTTTTTTTTTTTTTTATATCCAGTGTTTGTTTATATGGTTTGAGGTACCATATAATAACAGATATGTATGTGCTCTGATAAAAGTTGTTGTTAAAAAAAAAAAAAAAACACCTTGATTGTGTGTGTGTGCGTGCATGTGTGTGTTTGTGTACCTCATTTGCTCATGACATGAATATACCATAACAAAGCAATTCAAAACTGCTCTTGAAATGAACTCTGTGTATAAATCTATTGAAGATAAAAGTCACATCCACTTGCCTGAGCTACTCCCTCTAATGTATTTCACCCACCATAGGGCTTATTTGTAGCTAATCCTTATAATGCTAATTAACCTTATTGCAGCAAGTAAAATTGTCAGGTCCTGCAAAAAGTGTAATAGATAGCAATGCTTCTTAAGTACAATATGGTGCAAATGTAGCACATGTATATACTTTTTTATAGTCTTTAAAACAACTTCTGAGAATTAATGCACAGTATTCCAGGCCTAGTTTCTGCACATAACCTAGACTTCTGCCCAAGCCAGGTCTAGGAGATTCATTCTTTTGTTCCAAAGTCCTGCCATTTAAACGTCCAGTGCAAGATCCACTAAAGCTCTGATATTTAAACTGTATATTTAGGAAAGCCTTGTTAAGGGATTTGGATAGAGTGGGAAAGAGATATCAGTGAAGTTTTTATTGCTGTCTGTCTCACTGGGGAGATTCACCCTCTGTTTGTCCTTGGAATAATTCTAACCAAGAAAGAAAGTGAAGGGAAATCTAAAAGTAGATGGAGTGCTTTGTATGGGATATATAGTGTAAAAAATTGAACAACAAGCAAATGTAAAAATTACTTTGTTTCTGTTCATTTGAACAGCAAGCAGGTAACGTGAAAGTCATGTAAAAAAATTTACTTTTACATCAACAAAAGCTGTACCGACTAAAAATATACCATTATTTCTAAACTTACTTCAACGATAACGTCTCAATACCGAAAACCTGAAAACTATATACCGTATTTTCCGGCGTATAAGACGACTTTTTAACCCCTGGAAATCTTCTACAAAGTCGGGGGTCGTCTTATACGCCGGGTGTTGTGCTGAAACCTTACCTGTACTTCCGAGCTGACGCTTCTGCGCATGTCTTCGGCAGCAGTAGACGATCGCTGATCACCATTCCTCGCAGAACTGCATGAGACGTCGGATGCAGCCGTTCAGTGCTCGATTGAGCTTGACTGAAACTGTGACATGTGCAGAAGCGTCTTCTTGCCGCTACCCGATGTGTATCCTTTCTCTGCATATCACAGTTTCAGTCAAGCTCAATCGAGCACTGAACGGCTGCATCCGACGTCTCATGCAGTTCTGTGAGGAATGGTGATCAGCGATCGTCTACTGCTGCCGAAGACATGTGCAGAAGCGTCAGCTAGGCAGTACCTTGCAGGAAATACGGTAATTAACATTAATTATTATATATTAATAACTGTGGCAGTTCTCAGATCATCTTGGAGACAGGGAGGGCTGGGCAGGCAGGGAGAGCTGACCCACCCAATCCAAGCAGGCTTTGTATGCAGTGTGCACAGAAAATACTGGTACATCGCTTGCCGTGATTGGTTGGTAGAGGGGGGTAGTCTTATACGGCGAGTATAGCCCAAAGCCTATATTTTAACAGGAAAAGTAGGGGGGTCGTCTTATACGCCCAGTCGTCTTATACGCCGGAAAATACGGTACCTCTTTACGCAGTCCTGGAGGTGGACTTGAGGACTTTACCCATCCCTATTCCTTCCTCACTCCTAAAGAAATGCCAGTCTTGTATATTTAAATACATTTGGGGGGGTCTGGTGGCTGTAGGGTGGCCTGCAAAACATATATCTACAAATCTTCTGGAGGTTTTGGTGTACCCCACTCTGTACACTATTACAGATCGATACAATTTATTTAACTACTACAAATTTACTCCACCTTCTATAAACCAGACTGGATCCAATTAGAATGACAAGTGGGACCCTAACACCCTATAGACCTCTTCATGTGATTCCTGTCCCAACATCACAGGGCCATATGGTGCACCACCCTATCTCATTCCCTCCATCTATGGGATACTATTCGCAAAATATACCTTTTTTTAAATCTACACACGTTAGTAGTCCTTCCTTTTAACAACTCCTTATTCCCGCCAGGACTGTCCCCACAACCCTTTTCGGGGTAGTTGAACAAGGGCCTTTACTAAATTGGAAATTTGTTAGGGGATCAGACATTCTGATTACTTCCTTCAATTGATTGAGGTGCCTTCCTCAGAAATATTCCAAATGCATCAAATCCTCCATTTTCTACGCACACCTAAACAACAAATAGATGATGTCACTACTAGAACTTTATTTGAAAACAGATGCATGAGAGTTGAAGGTTCCTGAGGCAACGTATGGCATTGTAATGACACCTTCAAATGTTACCTGCTAAATTGCCTCATCAGTTTGGCATTGGTGGAAGATCTGGGTGTGAAAATATCAGGCACGGATTGGGTGATAACAGACAGGGTATTAACACAACCTTACCTGGGGCAAATTACAAAGTTTTATTGCTATAGTGTTTAATCCCTCCAGGATTGCCAAGATCTATCCTGAAGCATCCCCCATTTGTTTCAGGGGATCCAGATAGGAAGGCACCATGTACCATGTCTAGTGGGCTTGTGCCAAAGTCAAGCAGTTCTGGACTAGAATGTACACTTTTACACTCCATGACGAATCTGAACCAATTGTGGACATACCCAGACATATGCAGACCTAAATCTGATTTTAGCAGCGAATGTCGATTGCTAGAGCATGAAAAACACCGATTGTTAATATAGCTGCCGCCAAAAATAAACTTTGTTGGACATTGCTCCGTGAGAAGGTAGCCAGTATACTTGGGGCTGAAAAAGCAATCCAGATTTGAAAAGGTCTAGAATCCTTTTTTTCTTCTCCTTTTCTTCTCCTCTTCTCTTCTTTTCCTCTTCTTCTTCTTTTCTTCTCTTCTTTCTTTTTTTCTCTTCTTCTCTTCTCTTCCCCCCCCCCCCCCCCCCCCCCTTTTTTTTATTCTTTTTTTTTTTTTTTTTTTTTTTTTTCCCTTTTACTATTTGTAGATGTCATTTTTCTATGCAATTTGGATCACAGACGATTTCATTTCTTTTTTAAATGTAAACTTTACACTTTGGCTAGCAAAAGACTAGAATTGCTGTTAGAACGCATCTGTACACCATATATACATATGTAAAATAAGATATTTGCTTTGCATGCTGATAGAATTCTTGTATGCTTTCATTTTGTAAATAATGTTTAAATTGATGACTTGTGTGTGTTTTTTTTTTGTTTTTTTTGTTTGTTTTTTTTTCCCCCCCCAAGGATATTTTGTTTGGTCTGCTAAGAAAACAGTTCCTATCAAAGAATCCTCCAAAAAGAAAGTACGCCCTCAAAGTTATTGTGATGTCTGCCACACTGGATATTGAACGACTTTCTGAGTTTTTCAATAACTGCCCGGTAGTCACAATTCCAGGAAAAGTCTTTCCAATTAAAGAGAAATTCCTTAACTTTATCGGCCCACGAGACAAGGACAACACTGCGTACATTACAGAGGTGTGTGATTTAGTCCTTCCACATATTATTTGGAATAAATAAAAAATATTAGAATTATTTGAAAGTGACCTAGTTCAGCATGCATAGTATAGCCTGTGACAAAAATATTTCCAGTGTATGACTCCCTTTTATGAACCCAGTCAATAAAATCTTAGCATTTTTAATCTTTTAGGTCTGCAGCTTTCATTAAGATATCTAGTGATCCATCTATGAAGGTGGTCCTTGTTCAGGCACTCCCTATTAGAGGGCAATGGTGTTTGAGTCCCATAGTTGTACTCCTATGTTTTTACTGTATGGACTTCTTATGGAGACTAAGTGGCATTTTCAGCACACATGCAGCTCTGTTATCCACTTTTATCACCCTCGGGAAACCTGTCCTGAAACATACCATGTAGCCATTACTGGTATGCATAGATGTAGACAGGAAATGACTGCAAAGAGTCTGCAAGTAGCACTGATTTGCAACAAACAATAAAAAAATTTTAAAACAAGGATTTTATTTAAAAAATGCAAATGTTTTCTAACACCTTGTGTATTACCAAATTAAATTCCACTGAGCTAGGGTTTACATCTGCTTCAATTACTGGAGTCCTTTTTTTCAGCAACATTGTATTATGGTAATGTTGTTTTGTTTTTTTGTTTTTTTTTTTTTTTTTTATAGACTGTAAAGGTCACAATACAGACACATTTAAATGAACTTGCTGGGGACATTCTTGTTTTTCTTACAGGTAAGATTATGGAAATGCATGCCAAAATTATATATATATATATATATATATATATATATAACAGTGGGTAAAGTAAGCATTGAACATCTCACCATTTTTTTAGGTAAATATATATGTAAAGGTGCTATTGACATGGAATTTCACCAAATGTTGGTAACCCATGCATACAAGGAAAGCAAAACAAGTAAGTTCAAAAATTCATGTAACAAGATGGAATGACACAGGGAAAAAGTATTGAACACAAGGAGGGAGGTGAAAAAGGCATAGAAAGCCAAGACACCAGCTGAAATGTATCGGTAATTAGAAAGCAATCCTGCCCCATTGTCAGTGCAAATTAATATTGGCTGATTCAGTCTCAACTGATGGCCTATAAAAAGCTGTCTTATTACCAATGTGTCACACAAGAAACATCTCATGATGGGTAAAGGCAAACTGCTCTCTTAAGATCTTCACAACCTTATTGTTTCAAAACATACTGATGGCATTGGTTACAGAAGGATTTCTAAACTTCTAAATGTTCCAGTGAGCACTGTTGGGGCCATAATCCAGGAGTGGAAAGAACATTGTTTCACCATAAACCAGCCATGACCAGGTGCTCCTCGCAATATTTCTGACAGAGGAGTGAAAGGAATTATCAGAAGAGTTTTCCATAAGCCAAAGACCACTTGTGGAGAGCTTCAGAAAGAATTGGAATTGGCAGGTACAATTATTTCAAAGAAAACAAGTAATGCACTCAACCGCCATGACCTGTATGCACTCTCACCACGCAAGACTCCAATGCTGAAGAAAAGGCATTGTTGAAGCTTATTTAAAGTTTGCTGCACAACATTTAGTCAAGCCTGTGAAATACTGGGAGAATATAGTCTGGTCAGATGAGACCAAAATTGAACTCTTTTGGATGCCATACCACACACCATGTTTTGGAGGTCAAATGACACAGCACATCACCCCAAAAAAACACCATAGTAACAGTGAAGTCTGGAGGTGGAACATCATGGTGTGGGGCTGTCTTTCATCAAACGGTACTGGAAAACTTCATACCATTGAAGGAAGGATGAATGGAAAAATGTACAAAGACATGTTTGATAAAAATCTGCTGCCATCTACCAGGATAATGAAGATGAAAAGAGGGTGGACATTTCAGTAACAATTATCCCAAACACAAAACCAAGGAAACTCTCAGTTGGTTTCAAAGTAAGACAATAAAGCTGCTAGAATGGCCTAGCCAATCACCTGACTTGAATCCAATAGAAAATCTATGGAAAGAACTAAATATCAGAGTTCGTAGAAGAGGTCCTCAGAACCTTTAAGATTTGAAGACTGTTTGTGTCACACCTGGAAGAATGGGGCAAAATCACACCATGAGCAATGCATGTGTCTATTTCTCTATGCAGGAGGCGTCTTGAAGCTGTCATTATCAAAAAAGGATTTTGTACGAAGTATTACATTTCAGTTAACGTGTGTTAATACTTTTTGCCCTGTGTCATTCCAGTTTGTTACACATAACTTAATTTCGTAACCTATTTGTTTTGGTTTCTTTCACCATTCCTCGTATGTATGGGTTGTTAACGACATATGGTGAAAATTTCATGTCAGTAGCACCTTTTTTCTGAAATATATTTACCTAGAAAAATAGTGACGTGTTCAATACTTAAAGTGTGTGTTTTTGTGTATGTATGTGTGATTTGAGATAGATAGATATATACCTAGAAAAAATAGTGATGTGTTCAATATATATATATATATATATATATATATATATATATATATATATATATAATATTGTATGATTTATCACATAATTGGTAACAAAAGTGTTCTACCTTCTGCCTGTTTTGATGGTACAACATGAAGGGATGGGAAATATCCCAAAGAGGACAGAGACAGCCATAGAAACCTTATGGAGATTCTAAAACTTAAAAAAATAGACATTTTGGCACTTTAAGCGTGCATTGTGTGACACGATGATTTGTTCATCCCAGCACATCTTACAGGTTTTTGTTTTTTTTTGGGGGGGGGTTTTTTTCAGAACTTTGCTGAAATGTCAGGAGTGATATTTCTATAGAGTTCCATCCACTACAGCAGCTTTGCGATGCAGTGGTTCTTATTGTAACCCCCTCGAAAAAAAGTACTGCATGTTGTAATTTTTTCACCGCATATCACAATCACCACATCTAGTGTGAAAGGACCCTCAAAGTTGATATACCCACTGTGTCATTATCATCTTTTAATAGCTCTTATATTATTGCAGTTACAATAATTGTGCTTTTTTTTCAGGCCAATCAGAGATTGAGAAGGCTTGTGACATGCTATTTGAAAAGGCTGAACTGACTGACTATCGCCATGATGTTTATGACTCTTCAGTGGAAGGCCTGCTAATTTTGCCATTGTATGGCTCCATGCCAACAGGTAACATATTTTTTTAAACTTGGTTTTTAAAAAATATTTTGACAATAATATTCATTGTATTCTATTAAGATTAATATCTTAAATTGAATACTATTGTATGTACAACCCCAAGAAGTCTAATCAGTATTTTAAAGGACACAAACTAGGAAAAATGCATGGGTTGCCTTAGCTGGATTTCTCCTGAGAATAGTAGTTTAATGTCTCTGTCTTCAACACTTTGGGGATTATTTACGAAAACTGGAAGTGCAAAATCTGGTGTAATCTGCATAGAAACCAGTCCTCTTCCAGGTTTTATTACCAAAGCTTAATTGAACAAGATGAAGTTCGAATCTGGTGCAGCTTTGCATGGTAGCCACTCTAGCTTCTGAGTGCACAGTTTTATTAAATCTACCCTTTTGAGTCACTGGTCCAAAAGAAGCATTCCAATAAGAAAGTCAGAGTGGAGTTGGATTTGATCTGCATTTTTGTTTTAAGTAGAAAGTATTGAAGCCTTTAGATCTGAATGAGAGCCAGCATTTTCAGAAAGGGAGGTCAGCAGTGGCAGCCTTCTGTATTTTTTAACTGTTTTTCCTTATAGGAAAAGTTGTTTTAGACGTTTTGTCTATATTTTATTCTAGTATGTTGTTAAAACTTTGTTGGAGTGCTCTGTTTAGCTGTTATGGGCAGACTTTTATGACCTCCTTTTTATGTGCTATGCTAAAGTCTGTTCTGTGCCCATGTGGATTTGCTGTACTTCTCACTGTTGTCAGTAATACATTTGCTTGAATATAAAATAGTGATTTTTTTATATTTTGTTTTCCAGATCAGCAAAAAAGAATATTTCTTCCTCCCCCTAAAGGGATCAGAAAATGTGTAGTAGCCACAAATATTGCTGCAACCTCTGTGACCATTGAAGGAATAAGGTGCAAGCAAGTATTATTTTAGTCCTTTGACATTTTTCTCCAGATTGGACACTTGTGCTTTATTAAATTATTTTATAAGGAGTGGTCATCAAGTGGAAAGATTGACTTAACATTGACATTTTATAGTTTTACATCAGCTGCATTTTAGTGAGGCACCACAACCAGGAAAAACATGTACATTTTACAATGTGACAGCCCTAGCCCCCAGAGAGACTACATTTCATAAAGCAGACATTATACGTGGTGTCATTGTATGCAAATAGTTTCACAGCAGTATCAGATTTCTCTTACAGGGGCTATTGCAGCTTCATTTGTGCTTACTTATTAGAGGAAACCTGTACTGGGATACATAATCAAGTCAACATTGCTGGCCATTTTCAGAATATGCTACTCTACTTGTTTTCATGCTGATTTAATTGCTTCAATACTTTGAGTCACTTATTTGAAACTTTGGACTTGAAACAAATCTGCATATACGGATTTATGACTTTACTAGCTGCATACATGTTCCAGTCACTAATCTGGGAATGATTATGCCTTGTACCCACTTGCTTCACCCTGTATAAAAGCAGTGTGTATAGCAAGCTTTCACAAAGCATTTGCAAGGTTTTTAGACAGCTTCAAGCTGACCACTTGAAGCTTTTAAGGCAAACTGCAATTCAAGAAGGAAAGGCTCTCTCAACCACTACACATTATGTATAGCTATTGTCTTTGAAATCAAACACTCACATATTTATTATGTCTCCCTCACATTGTGATCTTACCAAGCTGATAACATATTCTCCCATCCACTGTACAAAATGTGTGGCTGTTGTCTTTGAAATAGTACTCTCTAATGTTTTGCTTTGTCTCTCCCTCTTACATTGTGGTCCAAAGAAGCTGCTTACACATTGTCCATCAACTGAACAATATTTGTGACTATCTTTCAAATAATATATTCTAAATTTTAGTTAAGGATAAAAATTTGCTTCATCTCTCCCTCTTACATTGCATCCCAATTAAAGTGTAAGTAAACTCCTTTTTTCAGATTTTACCTACAGGTAAGCCTTTAATAAGCCTTACTTGTAGGTACTGTAAACATTTCTAAATATTTCCTAAATGTGAAAACGTGCATCTAGAAGCGCCAGGGATGTCACTGGCACATGCGCACTGTGCTCTCAAATGGATGGCGTGCCGTCCATTGAGAGAGCTGTGCCATGGCTGAAACTCCCTTCGTGCATGTGCGGGAGTGATGACATCACGGCCTGGCCAATCAGATGGCTGCAACTCGCAAACCCGGAAGGAATACCAGGTGAAGATGGAAGCCTCGGGGAGCCATGACAGCGCTCCGCTGGAGGGCTTCATTTTCAGGCAAGTCATTCATAATGTGTTAGTATGTGATGCAGAAGTTTTTTTTTTTTTTTTTTTTTTTTTTGTTTGTTTTTTTTTTTATAATTTTTTTTTTTTCGCGGCTTACTTCCGCTTTAAGCTCCTAACTCTCTATTGTCAAATAATATACTCAATTGGTTATTTCAATATAAAAACAGTTTTGTCTCTCCCTTTTTTTATATATTGCAGCCTAACCAAGCTGCCTAAATACTGTTTAACCACTGAACAATATTTGTAGCTATTGCCCCAATGTACTCTACAAGACCATACAAACTGCCTACAACAAGGCAAAACACATTTTCTTAAAATTTTTAGTACAAAACAAAGTCTGCCTTTTTCTCTTTTATATTGCTGCCTCTTAAAGTGCTTGTGTACTGTCCTGAGACTAGTCAATTTTTGTCAAACACATACTTGATTATATATTATATCTTATATAGTAAGATTATATTTGGAATATTTTTGGAAATAATTGGATAGGCAATGGGGCTTGGTTTGAAGAAAGTGGGGTTGTGGTTCTGTTTTGATACTTAAAGTGGTTGTAAAGGCTCAAGGTTTTTTACCTTCATGCATTCTATGCATGAAGGTAAAAAAACCTTCTCTGTTCGTTATCGCCCCCAGCCCCAACTAATACTCACCTAAGCCCCCTCACGATCCAGCGATGTGCACTTGAGACTCGGCTATTCCAGGACTCCCTCTCCTCATTTGCCATTGGCTCCCAGTGCTGTCAATCACAGCCAGTGCCAGTAAGCTAATGAGAAGAGAGTGGTGGGACCAAGGCATGGCTCCATGTGTGAATGGACACACGGAGCAGCGGCTGGGGAGTGTGCATGCTCGGGTGCCCCATAGAAAGCTGCTTGCTGTGGGGGCACCCGACAGAAAGGAGGGACCAGGAGCGCTGGTGGGGAACCCGAAAAGAGGAGGATTCGGGCTGTACTGTGCAAAACCACTGCACACAGCAGGTAAGTATAGACCTGTTTGTTGTTGTGTGATTTTTTTTTTTTTTTTTTTTTTCTTTCAAATTTTAAGCCTTTAGAATCACTTTAAACTTTTAAGACAATACAGTGTAGTACTGAGAAAAAGAAGCTCACAAATCATACTTTGAAACTGTATTGCCACTGGCCAGTTGGTAAGAAGTTTTAGCTTTTAGGTTTTTTCCCTATAGCTTTTAGATCTATTATGGTTGCCATTTCCACCATTTAATTCATGGCAGTTGCATTGGATAAACAAAAAAAGTGTTGCAGTCAAACAAAAAAAACCCTTATTTTTATTGTTGTAATTAACCTGATTGGGGCGCTGCTGCTGTATATAAGCCAAGCAATAACATAACGTTTAAAAATATAGTTTTACACATCCAGAATATGTGATGCCAGAATACAGTGTTGTTGGTCTATGAAAATCTTACTTTTCCAAAGCACCTCCCAAACTTGTAATTCGAGAATTAGTGATTTTCCTATGTCACCCTCAAAGTCACATTAAAAGATGGACCCTCCCCCCGCTGTACAGTATTTTTTAGCATTTTGTGTTTTGCCTATATACCCTGTGGCTCCCTATTCTCTCTTTCTGACAATCCCTCATCTATTAGCCTTAAAAATGTTGAGCGCTGATTATCAAGATTTATAGACTTCAGTTGGGTTTGATTTTAGGTTTTAATTTTCAGACTTCACAAATACCCTCCCCTTCCTTCCATGGAAACCAAATCCAGACACATTCGCTCATCCCTAATCCCCAATTGTCATGCTTTACTGTTCCTTCTCACATTGCTAGTCTGTGTGTCTGCAGACCCTCTGATAACAATTTACTCTCTGTGTGGCTGAACTCTTTATGGTTAACATGAAGCCCCCTCTACTGGCTACTCTACAAACCTTTATATTTAAAACAAAAAGATAATGAAAACGTAAGTATGTAAAAATCCACAAGTCACATAAAAAAAATACTGTACAGTAAATAATGCAATTTTAGCCTAAAAACGTGCTCAGTACATTATATACTTTCTCTTTTAAAAAGGGTAAGGATATCAGTAACTATGAAAAGTTAAGTTCCACCAGAGAACCCAAGTATAAACATTTTTTGCTTAATATATTTATTCTTCCCATCAGCTGTTTACCTTAGTAAATTTTCCATTTATTTTCAGGTATGTAATAGACAGTGGATTTGTGAAGCAGCTAAACCACAATCCCAGGGCTGGACTCGACGTTTTAGAAATAGTTCCCATTTCAAAGTAAGCAACAGAAAGTATATATAGCTAAAATATATATATATAGCTAAAATGACAATTTTCTCTCTAAATATGTATCTCTTGTTCTGGTTCCTTTTCCTTAAGAAGTGAAGCAGTGCAGAGAGCGGGCAGAGCAGGGAGGACAGCATCTGGAAAATGCTACCGAATTTACAGTGAGGAGTTCTGGAATAAATGTATGCCGGACCACATGATACCTGAGATTAAGCGCACCAGTCTAACATCTGTCATTCTAACCCTTAAATGCCTGGAAGTAAATGATGTTATCAGGTATTCCACAGAATGTTTACTTTATTACTTTAGTACATTATAATTATAAGAACCAGTGGTAGCATTACTGGTGTTGCTGCTGGGCAGTACCTGCACTTGCCCTGTGTTGCGGCTAGTGAAAATAATCTGAGGTTCCTGCATATAATGTTTGTGTATGTAGAACATTCATCCAATGAGACCCCTGAGGACGTGTAATCGCGTGAAACTGCATTGAGCAGAGCCGAATTGCGAGAGGTCATGCCGCCACTCTGTATGGCAGTTGGCGTCGCCTCATCTAAGTGTTACAAACGGCTTTCTAATCTGATGGTTTTAGGATGCGGATGTTTTAAACTGATTCAGTGTGCACTATATGCGTTTGTGAGTTACCAATAATTACTACAACAGGAAAGTTTATTGTTGGTATCTTATCAATGTGAGTGTGGACACTGCCCCACCCAGTGGAGAACACTAAGGATACTGTGTAACAAGGGCATACTGCTGTTCTATCCTTAGATTGCATAGCCTTGCGGTGAATGTTTGAATCACTCTGCACAGTGGAAGGATACACATGGATGGTGTCATTTTAATTATCTAGAGTGATGGATACTACATGGATTGTAAAATGGACTGGATATATGCATGCTTCATTTGCACTTTTGATTTGCACTTATAATTAGATTACACGAAGTCGTATGAAAAAAATCAATCATAAGACTAAATCATACAAGATTATGCTCCAATCTGATGCAGTATGATGCAGTCTTATGATTGATGGGCACATTTATGGATGTCATAATATAATAGAACAATTTTAAGGCATATAAGCACGGCACAGAAAATATTGATTTTTTTTTTTTTTTTTTTTTTTTCTTTTCACTGAAGGAGCACACAAATTTATAGGATTGTGCATGGTGTCCGCAGCTCTTACTTTTATTTGGGATTATCATATATAGCAGCTCGCAAGGATACAAAGATACAGATTAAGTCATATGTGGCGGACATTTATTCATTGACTTTTATGGTGGAGTTATTTAGTATATACATTTTCATATACCTTGAGCACTGCATTTATTATTTTGATCCAATGCTTCTACATGCACAGATGCATGTCTGTGATGATCTTATGAAGGAACTCTGGCCTTTGTGAGGAAGGACACACTGTTGATGTGTGATTTTATTTTTTTTAATTTATTTTTTTTAACTGCAGTAATCCTATTTTTTTGGTTCAATGTGTCTTTAATTTAAGTTTCCAATAGATTCTCCATTGGTGCTTTGCCCCCAGTATTTGCCAGCAATAATAGCACATGGTTAAATTATTATTATAGCAGTATTTAAACATATTATTCATATAGTATACAATGCTCAAGAATGTTTGTTTATTTCCTTTAGCACTATCATACGCCTGCCCTTTTGGAGTGTGGCATCCTGTACAAACGCAAGGCAGGGATAACATACAAACTCCAGGCAGACAGCATTCTAATGGCAGTTGAAACCAAGACCCTAGTGTTACAAAGCAACTCTGCTAACCATTGCACTTCCGTATTGCAGAGTGATGCTGATTTAGTGTATAAAATCACAAGAATAGGTTTGAACTTTAAGAATTTCACAATTCTTCTTTTGCTCTATGCATGATTTACCATAAAAAAAGAAAAAATTAGCAGCTGACAAGAGCAGACCTGCCAAAAACGTTGGTATATTATGAATCCTATGCAGAGTAAATATTCACTATGAATAGTGGATGCAAATATTTTTATTGAGATCAATTAGATCATGAAAAGGTAGGCATTTGAATCATGGTGAACATATTGTCAATCATGAAAATAAAATCAATAAATAAAAACAAAATAACGTTCTGCGTATTCACTTAGCTGCATCTATGGCTAGAAAGGTCAAAATGGGTATTGGGCAAAAAAATCTTCTATAATTGGGTGTAGGAAGTCCATAACAGTTGAATCCAAGTATTAAGTAAATCTTCAGAATTTAGATTTCTAAATCTTTCTCTTCTATCCTTGAAGCGTCAAAAATTTCCTTCAAATGTTCATCAAAGTGAAATGATGAAGGATGAGGGATGAAACTCCTGAAGAATAAATATGTGATGAGTAAAGAATCTTGGAATAGATGCTATGAGCATGTATTTTCATCTTACAACATCAAGCTTTAACCCCTAATACAAAAACATGGCTTCTAAAGGAGGAATATGGCATTGTAATCATTATTACCTTCTTTGCAATTCATCATCATCACATAGATTGGTCAAGAAAATTACATTGTGTATGGCCAATTTCAGCCGACCGATGTTCCTTAAATAGGATGTTTTCAGTGGATAACAATAATGATAAATCTAAAATGAATAATAAGGGTTTTAATACACAGAAATCAGTCATTAATATGGGCAGTTCCAAAAGAGGAGATAATTACCCTGATAGAGTTCATGTTTGTTTCCACTTGGAGAATATGGATCATATAGATCCTGAAAAAGATGAGAGGTGTATATCCTCCTAGGTGCCAAAAATTGTATATGATGTGGTAGGTATAGCTGGAGTGTGCAATGTTGTACTGGACATATGTGTAAATAGCCTTCTATTGGCTCCAAAAAGTCCTCTTCTATACAAGAGCAAGGCGGTTCCTGTTGAGAGGTTTTTAGGACAGAACGTCCTTTTTTTTCATAAAATAATGCTTATCGCAAGATAAAAAAATCATTATTCACCTAAAAAAGGCCCAAAAATTTCTCTATAAATAAGAGTACTGGAGTTCCTTAATAAGGTTCAGAACACTAAAGTCCCATTATTGTAGATTGCAAGATATGACTTAGCTCTATTCAAAAATTTACTTGCCACCGGTGGAAGTAGTATAACGCCACATGTAGTTAAATGAACTCCCGGGAGTCATCCCAAGTACTGGTGGTTTTCTGTCTTGCTCAGTGTTTGTCCAAGATGGAGGCGTGTGGCGTGCCTCTTTCCCCTGATGGACATCGCAGCATGGAAGGACGCAGAATGTGAGTCAGTTCTGACGAAGTCCGCGATGGTTGGCGGACAAAACGCGTCAATGCAGTGACATCGTCATGTTCTGCATCCTTCCATGCTGTGATGCCCATGAGGGGAAAGATCTAATTGACCTCAATAAAAATATTTGCATCCACTATTCATAGTGAATATTTACTCCGCATAGGATTCGTAATATACCGTCTTTTTTGGCAGGTCTGCTCTTGTCAGCTGCTAATTTTTTCTTATAAGCTTTTTGGTTTAGAATCTACACCTTAATCATGGTGAGTCGGGGAAATGCTTTTTGATGGGTGGATACACCCCTAACTTATGGCTCCTTTTTTTCTTTTTTGTATGTGATTTACCATTAAAACAGATTATTCAATTATATTCTCAGCAAATTAATTTTAGTTGATTTAACTAAATTGTTTGCAGGTTCCCATACTTGGACCCCCCTGAAGAAAGGTTTATTTTAGAATCACTCAGGAAGCTATATCAGTGCAGCGCAATTGACAGGTAAACAATGTTTTCTACGGTTTTTCTCAAGAGGAAATTCAAGAAATTGTTGCTTAGGCACTTCTATCTATATATATATATATATATATATATATATATATATATATATATATAATACATTTATTTATAATGATCCTGTTAATCAGTTGTTTTGTTATTGTGTAAAACCCCCCAAAATGTTGGGACACTGTAAAATCTACATAAAAACAGAATGCAATGATTTGCAAATCCTCATGAATCCATATTTTATTCACTATAGAAGATAGAACACATACCAAATGTTTAAAGTGATATTAAAGGCATGCTAAAAAATAGTCATATTTACCTTCTCTATGCAGTAGCTTTGCACAGAGCAGCCCCAATCCTCTTTCCGGTTTCCCACTGGCGCTCATGGCACCTCCGTCTTACCAAGTGCCCCCAGAGCAAACCGCTTGCTAGGGCCCAAGCAGACTAGCTCCCAAACCTCTGCTCTGCATGTCCATTCACATAGAGAACTGCGGCTCAGCCCCACCTTGCCCCCTGTCTCTTCTCATTGGCTCACTGGCTGTGGTTGACAGTAGCAGAAGCCAAGGGCTCCCACTGCTGTCTCAAGCCATTGAGGAGGGAGAGCCAAGGCTCTTGTGCACATTGTTGGATTGCGATGGGGCTCAGGTAAGTATTGGGGGGGGGGGGGGTGTTTCTGCACACAGGTTTATTCCTTTCATGCATAGAATGCCTGAGGGTGAACATCTTTAGAATCAGTTTAAACTGACAAAATGTGCCATTTTAAGAAAATAAAATAAGGTAATTTTGAAATTACACAGGGCCATGTTTACTACAGGGCAGCATCCCCTCTACTTTTTACATTACTCTGTGAATGTCTGGGAACTGAGGAGACCAGTTGCCGGGGTTTTCGGAAAGGAACCTTGTCCCATTCTTGCTTTATATAGGATTCTATCTGCTCAGCTGTTTTGGGTTGTCTGACCTATTTTTCACCACAAATATTTTCAATTGGTGAAAGGTCTGGAGTGCAGGCAGGCCAGCTAAGCACCCAGACTCTTCCACCACAAAGTCAAAAGACAGTCTGGATGGGAGCATATGCTGCTTTAAAACCTGAATATATCTTTTAGCATTGATGGTGCCTTTCCAAATGTGCAAGTTGCCCATTCCGTATGCACTAATGCACCCCCATACCATCAGAGATGCGGGCTGATAACAATACAAAAGCACAAGCAAGCACCAAATTTAAGTGCAGCATAAGTATTCCTCTTTATTAAAAAAACGCCAAGTGCAGCTGCAGCAGGCATGTGAGATGTAAAAGAGATTGCTTAGTTGCCGACCAGGAAGTTTTCTGAGCCAACGTGGAATGCAGAACTGGACGTGACGTCACACTGGGGGACGGCCCTCTCTCCCTGTGTCTGGGAATCTCTCTTTAGTGCAGGGGTGTCAAACTGGCAGCCCTTCAGCTGTTTCCAAACTACAAGTCCCATGAGGCATCGCAAGACTGATAGTTACAAGCATGACTCCCAAAGACAGAGGCATGATGGGACTTGTAGTTTTGCAACAGCTGGAGGGCCGTCAGTTTGCCACCCCTGCTCTAGTGTATATCCGCTTCTCTATCCCAGTCTCCTCTCCAGTGTCTGGTCAGCGTCTCTGGTAAATCTCGGCACCTCTTGTTAGAAGCCACTACAGCCTTAAGAGGTCTCTAGAAACTGTCCACTCCTCCTGAGACTCTGACAGAAAGTTCTCTACAAAAGTCACTCTATTACCTCACATTGCAGGGACCAATAGTACCTGATGAAATATCACTTTTATGACATACGGTTTGTTTTAGAAAAAAAAAAAGAAAAAAAAAAAGTGCGATACACCACAAGCGTCTCGCTGGCACCAATGTCATCCACAAAAGTGGCTGCGTTTTAGCACAGCCCTGGTGTGAATAAGATTTAAAATATAAATAAATGTACGGTGCTCCCTACATGCGGTTACATCCCTTTTATCTAAAAAAAAAAAAATAATATATATATATGTGTAAGTATAATAAACCTCTAAAACGGCACCTCGATATTCTGTGAATAGCATCATAAACTCAAAACACGAATAAGATTTCTTCCACTTTTGTGATAATAGTCAAAGCATACTGTATATCAAACAATGTGCACATCCCAATATATACCTTCCCCCAATCCGTGCTCTACAGAATCACAACTCTACACTGACATACAAGTCAGTCCCACCACCTTTCCTCCAATGCGCTCACCTCAAGGTGTGGACCTATAACAATAATAAGTCTACATGGATGTTTTACCCTGTGGGAATGAATACACTAAGACTCTTCCCACTTAGCCTTTCTGGAATGGTCCTTTCCTTTCTGTATACATCTGGTTAGTGTCCCTTTAAGAAGCCGTCAGCCTTTTCCTTCTCTGCTGCCAAAAAAAAATATAGGATGGCCTCTCATAGTGTAGTATATCAAATGCTTATTAAAAGTATTTCACTTACAGAATAAAATTGTGAAAAGCTCCTTTAAAATCTGTGCAGCCATGGTCACGCCCCACGTGACTTCATCAGGAACCATGTTCACATTTCACAAGTGTAAACAAACCCGAATGGTCAGAGAAATTAAAAAAAAAAAATACAAGTTAATAGATATCAAATGGAGCTCAAAGTAAGTTAATACATTTTTGCAGGTCAGGATGTCAGCTTAAGGGCAAATGCACCTCTCAGTAAACTTTGGTACATTGTGGTACTTTTGAAAGTGTCTCAAGCTGATGTCATGTGCAAAAAATAATGCACGCTGCATTTAACTACTGACACAAGCCCAAAACCTGTAGGCACAATCCCATAGCAAACTGTGTTTCTAATGACAGCTGGTTAAGGGCTTGCCAGAGCAGTAGCATTGGACCCTTCAAGCTTTGTCATGTTGATGTTTTTGTGGCCTCACACCTATAATTAACCCCTTCAAGCCGAAGTAACACAAATATGCGACCTCACAAAAGTGGGCCGCATATTTGCGTACCTGTCTTTGTGCTGGGAGCACAAAAACCGAAGTGTCACTGAGGGCACCAGGTCCTGTTCTAACGATCAGGACCCGGGACTCCCGATTCCAGGTCACATGATCGTTATGATAACCTCTGATTGGCTATCACAGTGATCAGTCACTATGACGCCCGCCCCCCTTGTTTTTTTTTTCTGAATGGAGGAGAGAGATGCATTGTGTCTCTCCATCTCTTCTGCAGAGAGGAAAAAAAACTGTTAAAAAAAACAAAAAAAATATAAAATAAAAAAATGCCTAGATTGAGGTTTAATCTAGTTCAGTGCCAGGGTTAGTGTTTGGGTCAGGGTCAAAGGTCAGGATTTTTTTTTTTTTTTTTTTTTTTAAATTGGTGTCAGTGTTTTTTAGCCCTTAAAATGTCAGGACATTACATACTGTATACCTCCCAAATGACCTTTTTTTGGAAAGTAGACAGAAGTCTACTGAAGTATTTAGTAAGAGGCATCACAAGTTTTTTGAAGTTGTCATTTTTTTTTTTTTTACATTGTTTACAATTTTATGACAATGAAGAAATTAAATTTTTATCTGTTTTGCAGATTTTTTTTTTCTACTTTGCTGTTACAATGATGATCACTGTAACAGCAATGTTTTGAACTGTCATGAATGGGTTTCATTCATGACAGCTATGATTACTAGTGATCTGTGGTTGGCTACAGCTAATCACAGGATACAGGGTGTTGTGATTGGCCCAGGTACCATGTGATAGCTGTGAACCAATCACATCATCACTCTCTATAGGAAGCACAGCTGTTATAAAAGACATTCGTTCATAACAGCTTTGTTGACATTGTGATAGCGATCACATGATCCCTGGGCTGCTCAAAGCGTATGGGTACCAGGAGATGCAAAAAAAACCGCTTGCTTCCAGAATTCTTATATTGACTATTATTATGCCCACATCATGTGTCAAAAGTCCATTTTATCATTGTGGCACCTGGTGCACAAGATATGAGTCCCCATTTTATACATGCAAAAAGGGATGGGTATCGCTTATGGATTGTGAAAAAAAATTGAAGTGGAACTGTGGACAAAATTTAAAAAAATGACATATATTTCTTGCAGTTTGGCATTTACACAGCAGGAATCCCTTTTTGCCCCATTGTTTTGTTTTTGTTTTTTTTTATGTGTTGATCTTGATTGTAGTCCTGTGTTTTATTTTTTATTTTTTTGTTTTTTTTTGTTTCTATTTCTTGGTAGGTAGACAACTGTTCATTTTGCAATGAAATTGCACAGCAGTGATCAGGGACTTAGATGGACATATAATTTTTAAATGTACCTTAAGTAAGCAACACACAAATTAAAGTTCAACTCCAGCTAAGATTTTTTTAAAGTTCGAGCAACATGTTAATTATGGTTGTTTTTATTCTTGTTTGGGCGGAAAAAAAGGTTAAAATCATATGAATCAAAGCTAGCAGTTGTAAGCACACCTGTCAGTGTTGTGATTTTGTCCCTGCCCTTTTATCTGAAACACTTTCTGAACAACTTGGCAGTCCAAACAAGTAATACATTTACATTACAGGGAGACTTAGAAAAATGAAAACAGCTGGTTTATTGCTATTGACATAATTTATGCCATTTTGATTTTTCCCATAGTTCCACTTTAAAGCCCAACTCCATTGAAAAATGAAATTTAAATAGTGGATAGTACATCAATTACCTTACTCCTAAGTCTTGATTCCAAACGCCTGTTTCTAAGCCATTGTGCAGTATGTTGGATCAAAATCACAGTTTCCTCTGTGAGCAAAGATAATATCTAACACTGGAAGCCAAGCATTTTTCCCTGCTCGTTATCTTCTTGGACAGTAGTCCTATGGACAAATGGAAATTACTGTTTATTGGTTTAATGAAGCGGGATGGGTAAAATAAGTGAGATGTGGTTTTACATTACAATTCGGCTTTAAACCGATGCTTTGGAGAAGGAACCACTGAATGTTTATGTATTTTGTCCATGCCAAATAGATAAATTATAGAA